ATAGCGTGTATATCCACCTCTCGCTGCAATAACAGCTCGAGGTCTTCATCTTATCGAGTGAATAAGGGTAGTTATTTCTTGATCTATATCAAGAAAACCCTTCACAAGAGCTATGGCTAGCCATAGTTTTTGCTAGAACTACAATGCTACAATATCTTATTAGAGCTACAATTTATAAGTACTATAACTATAACTACAATGCTAGCCATAGTTCTTGTAAAGTTTGAGGTGGAATAGGACGATAACGAACAGCTCTTTAAGTTCGTCGCACAAATGTTCGATTGGATTGAGGTCGGGACTACAAGGACGCCATTCCAATCTTCGTAGTCCAACCTCATCCAGGTACTCGTTAACTACTCGTATTCCTAACTCGTTACCCGTCGGGCCTGGCATTATCATGCCTCAGTATAAACTGATTTCCAATGAAAGGAGCAAATGGAACAACTTCTTGGAGGACATCCTCAATATAATGGTGGGCATTGCAATTCAAAATTGTAAAAATATTAGTACTTTATTTAAAAATGTGTAGCTCATAAAAGAATAGAGGTAATAGGAGAATTCAAAAAAAGAAATGTTAGGAATACATTTACGATCACAGGACAGTGTTCTTTTATCCAAACGGCCCCGCCCGTCCCATTTTTCCACAGGGTATTTTGAATTTACTGCAAAAAACGAAGTTTTGATTTACCTACCTCGGTATAAACCCACATAAAGGTGCCCGGTGGCGTAGAGGTACAGGCTCTCGTCTACCAATCTCAAGGTAGTGGGTTCATCCCACACAAGGCATTGCATCAGCCGACTATTTTTATTAAAATAAAAATAGTTTTGGTACCTAGGTCGACTCAGCCTTAAGTGAGTACTTGGGATTCACAATCCTGAGGTAACAATAGGCGGTTGAAGCGTAGTGCTAGCCACATTACCTTCCTTGTATACCGAACGGCTCTAGTATAACAAGCCGTACCTTGCTACTCCTAAGGCGTTAAACGCTATATACGGGAGCTATTATTATTATTATTATAAACCCACATAACCGAAATATATAAGCCATTAAAATAATAAAAAATAATGCCAACAAATTTATCTACAAATTAATACCATAATCATAAAAATCTCCTAAATACAAATATATCACCCGGTATGGAGAAAATACTCTTCCCCGACAAACCGATATGTTGAAAGTAAAATTTCGGTCAAAACTCTACTCGTAAAACTGTCTCGTTATTTATGTAAATGCGGCTTAAAGCACACAATCCGAACACTTGAGGCGACGCATCGTCGACCTTGATTTTCCATCGCCACAGATCACTAATGAATGAGAGAAGATGCGCCGGACAAGACAAACGAGCCGAGAAAGTGTGCGTAGTTAATTGATGTTTTCTTGAAAGAAAAAAAAGTGGAACAGTCTAGCGCTAGCAGGATGTTTATTGTGATTTTTAATCTATTCATTTTTTTTTTCATTTTGGAGAGATTTAGTTTATTTAATATTCAAGCACAATATTTATAAATGCATATAATAAAGAAATATACGTAGAAAAGTGTGTACAGGGTGTCCAGTTTTCATGTGCTTTATGGGGTCACCGTTTATAAGTAGAGATACAAAGATGCGGTATATACTCTGTTTTTTTTTTCTCAGATAAGATTTCAACTGACGATGGCAGAAAAAAAGCAGATGACGTCCATACCAAATCCATTTCTTTAACTAAAAAAAGTTTCTAATATTTTTTAAGTTAACTATGGATGGGTTTAAATATAAATCCGTCATGCGTCGTGTCTTGTTGTTTTTAACCAGTTTTATTGGTTTATTACAAAAATGACAGATCATATTTCAATATTATTGGTTTAACGGAACGATGAACGACAAACGGACGCCGATGCGTATGAACTCGACTTAAAATTTTTGAGAATTGTCAAACTCTTGCCAAATTATAGGTTATAATTTTGTGTCAAATTATGTCAAGTAGAAATGATAAATATTTTACATTTTGCATTTTGGACTGTGTTATTATTTCATTGTGTTGTTGTTGAAAACTCAAAGGGGAAATTAACTGTTGACCCAGACCATAGTTTACAGTAATAAGTAGATAAATAGTATACTATTATACTTTTAGAAAGCTCATAACAAGTCGAAAAATCCAAAAATTCGCCCTCTATTTCAGGAACTAAGAGGTTACAGGACCAATATGAATGTAGCATCTTTAGTTTCATAAAAAATATAACATAGTGATGTGAAAACCGCATCTCTGTATCTCTACTCATAAACGGGAAATCCCAAAAAACATGCGAAAATTCTCACACCCTGTACAAAGATACCTTATTTACGTTAAATTACAATAAAAACTTTTCAAAACACCCTTGTATACTTCTCTAAGCAGTCTAAGCACCCCATCATCTCAATAGTTTTACCATTTAAAGCCTGAAGAAAGCAAACACAAGAAGATTACTACCATTCGTAGTACGAAGTACCATCGGGGTAATTAGGGTACTAATAAATCTGAGATCCTCTCTAAGACGAGACCAGAGAAAGCGAACATTACGTTTATAGTTTTATGGGTAAAGGTAAATAAGTTTGTCGCCAATACTGCAATAAGACAAATAAAATTCTCAATTCTTACCACCAACGAGTTTGTAGAGCTAGAGATTCTTTTTAGCCGACCATACCAACAGGTATGGTAGGCTATTAAGATCGGCAATTTTTTTTTTAATTTCACTCAAAATGAGGTATTTGGGTCATAAATGACCTAAATACAAAATATTTTCATGGTGTCTGTCTGTCTGTCCGTCTGTCTGTAACACGATAACTCAAAAACCGCTAAACCGATTTTAACCAAATTTGGCACAAAAATTGTGTGGCACCCGAAAATCTGGCCATTAGTTTTTGGTGGGGGTGGAGGGTTGGTAAGGGGGTATGGGTGGGGGTTAAAAATTTTAAAAAATCGTAACTCCAAAATTACAGTAGCTAGCGAAACGCGGTTTTCAATTTAAGATTAGGAATAATATTTACAACAAAATTTGTAATAACATCAAAATCAGCCAAAGTCGCAGTTTTTGAGATACTTAATTGAAACTAAAAGAACTGCCTCCCAACTTTTTGTTAACATATTTTAGTATGGGCGGCTATACGTGCCTCCCGGCGCCAATTTTTTTAAATAAAATAACTCGACTAGATTCAGAAACAATATATTCAATTAAGTATAGTTTTTGTAGGATAATCACGTGCATTCTTTTACAATCACTAAGCAAAAACAAAAAGGAGGACATCATTAATATTGATAGAATTTGAAAATGTGCAATTTTAAATTTCTTTTTTTTTCGCAGCGTGTAACAGTTACGTTATTTGAATAATAACTATAATTTTTGACATAAAAATCTGTCGGAAATTAATTTTTAAATGAAAAAAAGTAATTCTGTTTCTGAAAACGAGTTAAAAGTAATAAAAAAACATCCTCATCCTTATTATTCTATGAGCGACGACAACGATAAACATAAGTACCTATATCGCAAGTCTGGTTTGCTCTCACTTGTGGAACTCCACTTTTACTTTTTCGCTTAAAATTCAATTCAAACTGAAGCACTTTCGTTCATAAAAGTGATACTTAATAGTGCAGAGGTATAATATTGCCAAATTGTGACGAAAAACATTTTTACCAAAAATATTTGTGATGAAACAATATTTCTTTGGTTTTGCAAATTTGCTTTTTACTGAGTTTGCATCTTCTATAAATAAAATTATTTTAAACATGTTCTGTTGTCGCTTTTTCTCATAAGTTACAGCACATTTGATAGTTTGCTTGGTACTATGTTTTTTTCAATAACAAGGGGCCGTCCTCTGCCGTTAGCACTTCGGCCTGTGTTTGTCCCCTTTCTATATCTACACCCATTCTCCTGTACTCTGCACTAACTTATGCAGGTCCTTGATAGGATGGGAGCATAGTTCCTCCGGTTCTAGCCTAGCTTTCCCAGATAAAATGTGTAGCTTGCTATCCAGAGCCTCGCAATGACATATTATGTGCTCCGCTTTTCAGGATCTTTGATCTTTATCGCAGAGTCTGCAACAAAGACTTCCTTGATACAGGTTGAGCTTGTTCAGGTAACACTTGACAGCCATGAGTCCTGTCAAGAGGCCTGTTGTAGAAGCATTAGCTGTTCTTTTGCGGTTTTAGAGTTAGGTCCTTGGATAAAGGCCTGATAAAAACAGACAGGCATAGCAAGCCTGTGCCTCTGTCTGTTTCTCCAGTGGACATCCTGCTTTTCCCTGATTCAGAGTTTTAGTGCACTACGGGCCATACGTTTGGGTATTCCCAGTACTGGCTCTGGACCAAGATAGGATGCCGATGATTCTTGCCTAGCTGGCTCATCGGCTTTTTCGTTGCCAAATAATTTAATTCTGTTCCTTCGTGCCAGAGTTCGCAGTTCACCTAGGCATTGCCAGACGATGATCATGTCAAGTTGACATTGCTGAACTTTACAAAAATGTTTAGCCTGTAGTCAGTTGCAATATCATTATTGGTATTTTACGATCGAAAAAAAAACAGAGTCAAAGACGGCTGGGATTGACAATCGATGATAATTTTGACGAGGTCAAGACCTAGGCGTCATTTACTTGGCCTGTACTCTTCGTTATTTTTGTAATATTTTCTTTATATTGAGTAAAAATTATTTTTAAGTAGTGTAGTTTAAAATTCGAGAAAATGTATTTTTTGGAAATAGATTTGTGTATCTGGAAACGTCCTATCCTTTTTTAATTTTTCTCTATAATTAGTGTTGATTTTTGACAAGTTTTATGTCAATTTTTAGTAAATGACGTCCAGAGATTGACCTCGTCAAAATTCTCATCGATTGTTACTCCCCAGCCGCCTTTAACCCCGTTTTTTTTTCGATCAGACGGTATTAGAGTAAGATGAAATCCAATCTATATTATTTTAAAAATGTTTAAATTTTCGCTATGAATATTATAAATTTATTTTGAACTTATTTTAATGAAGGCGTATTTTTTATTGCAGTTGGGCTGTATCCACGGTTATGACCAGACAGAACATGATACCGTCCGAAGATGGCAGTACCATGATCAACTCTCTGATACCACTCTGGGACATGTGCAATCATTCAAATGGAACGGTAAGTGATGTAGAATGTAGAACGAGTGTGAGGGGTTAATCACTGGGACCTTAAAGATTTAATGTGTCTCTTTTTCTTGAGTTATAACTCATCATACATGGGGAGTTCTATTTCCTGTTTTAAGTCGGACAGGGTATTTCCTATCCTCTCTTGATAACAGATATTCTTCCTCCGAGGAGTGGACATCTATCTCCTACGAGGGTATAATAATATATCCTTCCACTGTTGAGGTTTGGCCCTCCGTGCCTTTTACAGTTGAGGAGCTTGTTTCCGGCTGAGATACCCGTGAGGTGGAGACTGGAGGATCTGTCTCCATTTTATCCACCTCCTTAGACCTGATACCGGTGTTGTCCCGAATCTATAATAAAGGATAATGTCTCTCTTTTTCTATTGCCTCCTTGGATTTGAGGTCGTGAAGATAAGTGATTTTAAGTAGTAGTGGGAACTATCGAATGAATACTATCGAAACATTCAATAGTTGCAATTCATTCGAATAATTCGATAGTTAGTAAGAAAACATTCGTTGAAAACTATTCGAATAAAAATTATCGAATAGATCCGTCATCTGCCTTGAAATATTGTATTCTAGTAATTCGGCAGCAAAAACCATTCATTTATAAAATTCATTCATTTATGAAATTCATTTATTCGTCAGGATCGATTATAATAAAATATTAACTGAATTTTAGTTGTCGCCCGGCGACGTAGGTTTCTTTCCGAGAAACCCGACAGCGGTCGGTGGCATTGCTATGAAAGAAGCCGGCATGTTTGATTTTTTGCGGAGTCAGATATAGATAAGGGCACATTATTTTTTTTATTGAGGTGCTAGTATTTACACAGAAAATACATTATGAAGGGCGCTGTTGCCATATTTTGGTATTAGTTTATATTAGCAAAGAATATTATTGTTTGGCTTTAGTTAGTTAGGGATAGTATGTCTATATATTCTGCATTTTTCTTATTACTATTCTGTTGTTACACTGCAATAATACTTGTTATTTTGGATGTAGGAGAATGATTTTTAATGTTTTTAAGCAAAGACTGGTTTAATAAATAATAATAACAGTAATAATTTGTTATACCTATTAACAACAAAATTTAAAATCATTTAATATAAACATTTTTTTTAAGTAGTAGCAAAATATAAACAAGAAATTAGATGTCAAAATTATTTACATTAGATCCTATTTATTTTAAAAATAATATAGTCTCTAAATTTTTTGTGTGTAGCAACGTTGGTTTATTAAATAATAATAATTACAGAACTAATTTGTTATATTAACAACAAATTTTAAAATCATGAAATATAAACATTTATTAATTTTCTAAGCATGCAGTGTAATGGAAGGAAAATATAAATAAAAAATTAGAAATCAAAATTATTTATATTAGGTGCTTTATATTACTACTTAAAAATTATATTTACTTTTACTGGCATTTACTTTAAAAAATAAATGAAATATTTCTTCGCAAAAACTACATGTAAGAGAATTAGCATAAACAAAATACAAACATCGTTAACTTTTTTTTTAAATTGGCACGTATAAAACTTTCAATTTAATTTTCTCACCCCATAGTTTGAGTTCGATAACACCATTTACTTAACCACATTACTTAAATATGATTATTAAGTTCAACTAATTCATATTATTAAAACATCTAAAATACAAATATGTATTTTTAAAATTAATTGTAAGTTCATCTCATCTCTCTTAAAGATTGCTACTTCTCAAAATTTCCCATTAAAAAATAGACCATATAAAATTAAATAATTGAAAGATCGGACTACGGAAAATCACACAAATTTTCGGAAAAATTTTGACCACCTGCACATGCACTCAATCGTCAATAAATAAAATTAAAAAATAACTACTATTTTAGTATTTTAACTATTTTAATAAACGCAAAAATAGCACAGTATTTATACGCCGAAGTTATAAGAATTTGGAAGAACTAATAATGCACTGACGCATACAAAAATCAAACGAATACTAAATTTCATTTATCAAAAGCATTCTATAGTCGTGGCTCAACGATAACCATTTAGTCGCACGGCGAGGTTGTCACATATGCTTTAGTATACAAATGAATGAATGATTTTATTCGAATAAAACCATTCGATAGTTGAAATCATTCATTCATTAACCATTCGATAGTCTAATTCATTCGATAGTTCCCATCGCTAGCTGAGATACCCGTGAGGTGGAGGCTGGAGGATCTGTCTCCATTTTATCCACCTCCTTAGACCTGATGCCGGTGTTGTCCCGAATCTATAATAGAGAATAATGTCTCTCTTTTTCTATTGCCTCCTTGGATTTGAGGTCGTGAAGATAAGTGATTTTAAGATAACTTTATGTACCTAGAAAAGTAATTCCTGGTTCTTTATTCTCGCTGTGTCTGTTACACTTCAAAGGTGAACAAATCACCATTGTAATAAAGTTTATACAAAGTTGAAATTGAATTTCAACAATTTTTCAAACAAAATGATCCCGTTCACTATATTTTTTTTGATTATAATGTTAAATGACATGATATATAATGAAATGACATTAAAGAAACATAAGATAAGTGAAGATTGTTATGTATTAACTTACATTATTATCAATTACAGAATAGAAAGCTGGATAATTTGAATAAAACTGAGTAAACTCAGATTAAAAACGTTGACAAGACTAGAATTAAATATATACTCATATTTTCCTATCGTTATATAAATCGCTGCATTTTATCGAGTTATATAAATTTGGTGTTTTTTGTTCTTTTTAGATTTCGACCGATTACAATCCTCAACTAGATCGCAGTGAAAGTCTGGCTTTCCGAGATTTTAAAGCCGGCGAACAACTTTTTATCTTCTACGGTCCTAGGACAAATTCGGATTTTTTCATACATAATGGGTAAGTTTTCGTTGCTGCTTGTAGTATGGGGCTGATTTTTTTAGCTGAAATCACTTACAAAAGTAGTTATTTTTTATACAAGACGATAAAATGGTATTTTATCGTCGACCGAAAAGATTAATTCGGGAGACGATAATGCAATTTTATCGTCGTGTATAAATGAATATTTTTTTCTATAGCTAGTTACGTTTTAAAAAATATTCAGAAATTATTATTTCAAGGAATTTATTACGAGTAGAAAAAATATTATGCTGGGTTGGCGGTGGTTTCTATGTAATTTGACAAATAAATACAGCTGTCTTTTTAGTTGTCAGTTTTAAATCATGGTACAAAGAATACAAGGTATGATCGATAGCGGCTCCAATTTCGTTCAGTTCGCGCATACCACCTGTGACGTCACTATGAAAATAATGAATAAATAAAAAATAAAGAAAGTTGACAGGAGATCTGCATTTTTTGGGGTTATGGTTAAGAATTGTTTATTTTTAAGACTTTTTAGTTCATTTAATTTAATAATTACTAAAACCAGCAGTTCCAAAATATATTTAAAATAATAATTACCTATTAACATGGATTTGGTCGATAATAATAGGTAAGAATACTAAATTTATTTCTATATTCGGTATAAAATTGTTTATTAGGTTTTTAGTTTGCGATGTTATGGTAAATAATTTTCATGTTCATTGCCTCTGAATTCACATGAGGACAGAGATGAGGTTATCTATGGAAAAGTAACCACAAGAGGAATTATTACATCATTTAAAAAATGTTGGGAAGTTTATTGTTTCCCATCGAAAAGTAGAAAATGCCAATGCAGATGAACGTATTGTAATTATGATAGAAGTAATTCCAAGGGTGAAGTTTATTGTAATTAGTGACCTGTGCTTCTTTTTATATGTAGATGTTTCAGGTTTTGAGAATAAATTGGTTGAACGACACCCAAAATTTAGAGGAAGTATTTGCATACCCAGAATATGCCCATCGAGGATTATATTATAGCTCAAATTTCCTTTAATGGTAGACAATTATTCAATGCAAATTAGCTTTTTAAGTGACTGAAATATTAAATAGTTTACAATATGGTATATCACTAAAAATATATTACTTTTAGGTACAATTAGGGCCCGATACATTTCAAAAAGTAGATTATTTTATATTAAATGAGGTATTGTACCAACAATCAATTTATATTAATAACGGAGATTAAAAAATAACAGAATAAATAGTTCTTTTTTTATGCTACAAAAATAAACTATAGAATACAACAGTATTTAAAAAAATAAATAAAAAGTTATGTCCCGGCCGAGATTCGAACTCCGGTCTCTCGCTTTCTAGCCCGTCTCCTTACGCACTGCTCCACAGTAACTTGCTTAGCGATAATTCAATGACGGTATATAAACAAAAAAACAGGTTTATAACAATATCTTGACGATTTGAACTGGCGCGCGGAACGTGCTGACCAATAGCGCCTGTTATCACCTGTGACGTAGCGACCAACCTGCGCAATATCATACCTTGTATTCTTTGTACCATGGTTTTAAATCAATATTTTTTAATTCTCTTTTGTGTCGATTGCTGATTGAATTGGAGCCAGAAATGGCTCAAAACGAAATAAGTAAATTACCAACAGATATTCAGGCTGAGGCGACAAACGCCATATCCAAACTACTTCCATTTAAATCCCGAATAACTTATGAAAAGGAATACAATTTTTTTCAAAAATGGAAGCAATTAAAAAACGCGCAAGAAGAAATAAAGTTTTTAACCTATCCTCGCTGTTAAAGTATCATTTAATCTACCCTTGCGGTTAAAGTACTACTTTATCTACTATTTTTGATAGATATAAGGCAATTTTAACAGTTGCTATGGAAAAAAAAGAACTTTTTTCTGCTTTAAAACCGTTTCTACACAGATTTAAGAGCATTGAAACATTAGAACACATAAATTTTCGACATATAATAGTGCTTGATTGCATGGTTTATTTTTCGGTCACAATAGCTACAAAGGTATAGGAAATGGCTCAAAAGCAGTAAGCAGTAGCCTGAAAGGTGTAAAAATTGGAAACAAAAAAATACCGTCATGATACGTCTACATACCGGCATAATATTTCCATATATCTGTAAATGCCGGTGGAAAATTAAATTAATTTGTCGCTGACGGCGGCGGCGCGGCGGTATAAACTTAACAATAGCGGTATACTATAATTTAACAGGTGTGCTTACAGCGTGTTTTGATTAATTTTCTCAAAATTAATTTTCCGTGTAACTTTTTTCCGTGAATTTTCCGATATTTTATTATAATAGTTATTCTTCTATTCGAGGCGGAGGCACAACCAACAAATCAGAGATTATTAAAATCTGTCCAGCCATTCTTGAGTTATGGTGTAACTACTAGTTTGATTTATTTATTTCACTTTGATTTAGTCACCTGGTATAATAATATGTAGTGTTTTAAGATACACATAACAATAAAAATATGCGTATATGAATTTTTGTTACAAAATTGTCTTGTATTAGGAATATTATGACCTTCTGGACAATAAAAGACGGTATTATTATTAATATAAAAATATAATATAATATCCACTCAAAATGTTCATAAAAACCATGTTATTGAATAAATAAAATGTATAAAACAAGCAATATAATTGTCCCTTCAAAGTTACTTCCGAGTTAAATAAAGCAGTCATATTTCTTGGCTCTACCTACCCTTTTAAGTGTCTGTCCTTTTTTTTTATTGAAGAGCGTATCCTTTTTTATGACAGACTCGCTCTTGTACAAAAGAGATGACGGCCTTTGAAGGCTAATCAAATTAAGAAGACCTGTTCAGAAAACCTAAAAAAGATACAGGAAGAGCACGCCTCAATTTGTGATACGAATGTTTACCTTGAATTACCTGTGCTGGTCAAAAACTTATTATTTATTCAACATATTATTTATTTTCTTAATTTTTGATTTTTAAGAATTAATTTCAAGTCAATTTTCTTTACACAAATTTTCCACGGTAAGATTTAAAATACACATAAATAATAATGTCACAAAAATATAAATGCATATATAACATATACAGGGTGGCGCCTCTCATACGCCGCGGAAGCTCCAAGGAGAACGGTAGTTTATATCGAAATGAAATTTTGGCAGCGTATGTAGGTTAACTGAAAGTATTTTATAAAAATATATAGAATTATACAGGGTGTCCCCAAAAAAAGTTACTCATCATAGTTGTGTTTTTTCTAATGGAACACCCTATATATTAATTGATTTTCGGATCCTAGGAAAAAAATAAAGGTGAGTTTTATTAAAGAAGCATATACCTAAAATTTAAGGATTTTGACATATTTCACATTTTGTGAAAATGAAGAGTAAATTTTAAATTTCGATAACAGCTACCTAAGTTTTAGTTGACCTTGTATAGCCTGATATTTAATTACAGTAACCCTTGTATGTTAAACCAAATCGAAATTTGACCCGAAAAATTATACAGGGTGAGACAAAATTAATATGGAACATTAGACACTTTTAAAAGCAAGTTACTCCTTTATTTTAAATGGAACACCCAGTATATTTTTCCGGTGTTCGGTGGGGAATTTATATATCTTCAAAATATTATTAAGGTTGCCTACACCTCAGACGCATATTTTCCTAGATATTTTAATTTTCATGATTTTGCGTCAGTAGATCTTTATTATTTGAAAAAAATCTAGGTGGCTGTGTGATATATCTTTTGTTAATTTAACAAAAATTAAAGATTGTAGAGTAAAATACTCAACGGTAATAAAAAGATACAGGTTTAAAATATATTTTAATTATTACAGAATTAAAACGAGATATAAACTTATAATTATGTGACAAAAATTAGCTAGATGAAATCAAATGCTCAAAATGCTTCCTTTCCTGTTAACTGCATAAAATGATTGTCATTTCAAAAGGATCTCTTCGTTTTAAAGGGCATATGTGGAGTGTACAATAATTTCTCTCATGATGTCGACAATAGTTCGTCGAGTTTTTTAAACACTCTCTTTAACATATCCCCATAAAAAAACAGACAGATAAAATCAGGAGGATTTAAGTGTTCTATTAATTGACGAATGCAGTGTGCGTGCATGAATTGTGAAACTAATAGAACCATATTAATTCTTTCTGATGTAGGATAAGATTGCATTTTCGGAAAAGAGTAACATGTTAAGGTGACTAATGTTCAATATTAATTTTGTCTCACCCTGTATAACGTTTTGGACCAAGTTTTAATTTAATTTAAACTACAATAGTTAATTTAACTACATATTAGGCTGTACCGGGTAAATTTCAATTTAGGTAGCTTTTATTGAAATTTAAAATTTGTTCTTCATTTTTAGAAAATGTTAAATATATCAAAAATCTTACATTTTAGTCATATACTTCTCTTATAAAACTCACCTTTATTTTTCTCCCAGAATCCGAAAATCAATTAATATATAGGGTGTTCCGTTACAAAAAACACGACTTTGATATGTAACTTTTTTTGGGGACACCCTGTAGACCTCTCTATATATTCATTCTCCTTGGAGTCTCCGTGGCGTATGAGAGGCGCCACCCCCATCTAAAATTTTAAAATTACATTATGAAAAAACATTATAAAAAAATACACGTTAAAATAAAACGTTATGTGTAGATGGACCTTAATACTTTAAACACATGAAAGAAAAAATAACTTTTTGTAATACCACATAGACAACAAGCAGATGGCATTACAGTCATTTTACTGACTTTTTCCTTAATAAAATTCAGAAATGCGAATAACTCTTCTAACGATTCGTTACGTGTTGAAAATTCTAAGTATATGTACCTACGTATAAACGAAAAAATGCACATACTGCTCCGTAAATAGTTTATAAAATGTAATCGCAAAAATCTGTTATATAAACCGAATGTCGCAAATGGATTTTCTAATGGCATTAAGGCATGTTCCGAATTGGTCAAGATACGGCCGAACGCGGAAATGGAATGTAATCGCAGGTGGTGTGGCGTTACGTTTATGTACCGTTTATGGTGATTTACATATTATTTTGAGAACATTTCAATGTTTATTTACATAAACGTCTAAAAAAGTGGATTATGTATTTATTTTTAGATGTTTTGATATTTGACATTTCTACTATGTTAAAAAATGTCTATACCCAGGGGCGGGAAAGTGAAATAGCAAAAGCGGTTCCACCGTTTCCACGGAAATCTCAAATAAAATAGTTTCAGCCCTAGCCATTAGGTGGTAGTGCAATTAATTTTTAGGTTAAGAAGTTGCTACTAGTTATTGCCAGATGGCGTTAAATCAGAATTTTTTTGTAGTTTCCATAGTTTCCAACGGCCATTGTCATATTATTGTCAAATTTTCAAAAAATATTGTCGTTGTCATAGCGCCAATCCAACGCCAATCATAATATTATCAAATAAATGATTATCAAAATGTTTTTCAAACTATAATTTGTTATATGTGTTTTAATTAGACAATTTCTTTTGTTTGTGGCCCTAAAAATATAATGTAAGTCTTTTATTTTTGCCATCATTTAAGTACCTATTTATATTTACTCCATTTACAAAACTTTGGGCGTATTACGTTGGTCTTGTTTTATTATAATAAACGATGTTTAAATATTTGACTTATAAATAAAAACTTTAAATAATAAATAATATTTCACATGTTTGGCTTTAATTTTATTTAATAATTATATAAATTATACTGTTAAATCTTATTTTTTACACATCACAACGATACTTGTTATTAGTATTATTGAATTTGTGTAAAAATAAGATTTAATAATCAAATTTAATTATTTTAGAGTAAATTCAATAAATACGCTCATTTAAAGAGCCCGCGCTTCGATCCATTTAAAACAAGCCCTACTCAATAGCTAGGTATATTCTTTGTCTATACCTATGTGGGGCGGATTCATCTCTCCAAAAAATCCTCTATGGGTATTTCGCCACTGCAAAAAAATCTACAAAATAAAATAGTTATTTTTTGTAAAAAACACTTCTGCATTAATCCCAAACAGAAACTACTTCTCAGAAGTTAAGTTTACAGATATACAAATTCCTAACGAACAAAAAAACGCTTAAAGGTGCGTATTCATTATCCGCACGAACGAACGAACGAACGAACGAACGTACGCTAGTGGTATGGACGGGGACCGCACGATAGAACCGCACGAGAAGACCGCACGCATTTCTTCATTCGCGCGCCAGTTCAAATCGTCAAGATATTGTTATAAACCTGTTTTTTTTTTGTTTATATACCGTCATTGAATTATCGCTAAGCAAGTTACTATGGAGCAGTGCATAAGGAGTCGGGCTAGGAAGCGAGAGACCGGAGTTCGAATCTCGGCCGGAACATCACTTTTTTTTTTTTTAAATACTGTTGTATTCTATAGTTTATTTTGTAGTATAAGAGAAAAGAACTATTTATTCTGTTATTTTTTAATCTCCGTTATTAATATAAATTGATTGTTAGTACAATACCTCATTTAATATAAAATAATATTCTACTTTTTGAAATGTATCGGGCCCTAATTGTACCTAAAAGTAATATATTTTTAGTGATATACCATATTGTAAACTATTTAATATTTTAGTCACTTAAAAAGTTAATTTGCATTGAATAATTGCCTACCATTAAAGGAAATTTGAGCTATATAATCCTTGATGGGCATATTCTGGGTATGCAAATACTTCCTTTAAATTTTGGGTGTCGTTCAACCGATTTATTCTCAAAACCAGAAACTTCTACATATAAAAAGAAGCAGAGGTCACTAATTATAATAAACTTCACCCTTGGTATTACTTCCACTAATTATAATAAACTTCACCCTTAGAATTACTTCTATCACAATTACAATACGTTCATCTGCATTGGCATTTTCTACTTTTCGATGGGAAACAATAAACTTCCCAATATTTTTTAAATGATGTAACAATTCCTCTTGTGGTTACTTTTCCATAGATATCCTCAACTCTGTCCTCATGTGAATTCAGAGGCAATAAAAATGAAAATTATTTACCATAAACATCGCAAACTAAAAACCGAATAAACAATTTTATACCGAATATAGAAATAAATTTAGTATTTTTACCTATTATCGTCCAAATCCATGTTAATATATAATTATTATTTTTAAATATATTTTTGGAACTGCTGGTTTTAGTAATTATTAAATTAAACGAACTAAAAAGTCTTAAAAATAAAAAATTCTTAACCATAACCTCAAAAATGCAGATCTCCTGTCAACTTTCTTTATTTTTTATTTATTCCTCATTTTCCTAGTGACGTCACAGGTGGTATGCGCGAACTGAACGAAATTGGAGCCGCTATCGATCATACCTTGTATTCTTTGTACCATGACGTCTAAACGCCTTTGATGTACCGACTCGAAGCGGATGGTCGAGCGCACGAACGAACGAACGGCCGCATGCGTTCGGTCCCCGTCTAAATATACCGCACTTTCATTCGTTCGTTCGTTCGTTCGTTCGTTCGTTCGTTCGTTCGTTCGTTCGTTCGTTCGTTCGTTCGTTCGTTCGTTCGTTCGTTCGTTCGGATAATGAATACGCACCTTAAATCTGAAAGCGCACGCAGGCGAACGCCTTTGGTGTACCGACTCGAAGCGGATGGTCGAGCGCACGACCGAACGAACGGCCGCATGCGTTCGGTCCCCGTCTAAATATACCGCACTTTCATTCGTTCGTTCGTTCGTTCGTTCGTTCGTTCGGATAATGAATACGCACCTTAACGTTTCGGAAAGTTTATCTCTTTCCGTCGTCGGAAGCAAAAAAAAAATAGAAAGAATAAAGAAAAAAACTGATATTTAAATTAAACTATTCGAGAACACTTTAATTTTTTTAAAACAGATACGTCTACAAAAACCGTTGACGTTCTGTTAAAATGACATTATATCAAGTTAAACTTCAAAATTAACAAATACTACCTGATAACAATTACTTAATAAGGTAAAAACCAAAAAGGTCTAACTGTAGTATTTTTTACGTCATTTTGAACCAAATTTTCTATATAATTAAGATAAGAAAAAAGTGGCTCACACCCTATAACTATTTTATTTTTTCATATAAAAAACGAGATTTTGTATGTTAGTATATGACTTAAATTAGGATTGATTGACGTATTCAATTGTATTAGGTCACTTCCTGTTTTACCGAAAATGACTACAACTTTGGATTTTGATTTTAAATCACACCCTCGGTATTTTTTTACTTTATTCGATAGAAAATGACACTCTGAATAGAATGACGTATCATATGTCAACTTTTGACATTTTTGCTCAAAAGAAATCTTATTTTAAATTTCAATCTAGAGTGCCTTGGCTGCGTTAGAAACACGAATTCTTAATCAAGGACCCTTGGAAAAATAGATTTGATCGTCTTATATTTTTTTTGTCTTGTCCTGGCCGGTTAAAAGATGCCCAAATCGTATTTTTAATCATATCTTTTCAAATGGAACAAGGGTGGCTCGTTAGCATATTTGGAAAAAACATTTTTTTACGAATAATATGGTACCACACACTTGGTATTTCGAGTCATATTGTCGTTATAAACAGCATGTTACAATTTCAAATAAACCATATGCGAAAATGTCAAAATTTGACAATATGTCATTCCATTTAGAGTGTCATTTTCTATCGAATAGAGTAAAAAAATACCGAAGGTGTCATTTAAAAATCAAAAGTTGTAGTCGTTTCCGGTGAAACAGGAAGTGACCAAAAACAATTGAATACGTCAATCAATCCTAATTTATGTCATATACTAACATACCAAATCTCGTTTTTCTTTATTTGAAAAAATAAAAAAGTTATAGCGGTGAGCCACTTTTGAGACGCACCCGGTATATGTATCTTGAAAAAATATACCTTTTTTTTATTGTTAACTTTACCAAGTATTTGTGTTTTCTAGATTCGTTTACAATGAGAACGAGAACGACCTCTACTGGATCAGATTGGGCATTAGCAAATCAGACCCTTTGCAAGAAAAACGCAAGGAACTGTTGAACAAGCTGGGCATATGGAGTACCGCAGAGTTTTCCATAAAAAAAGGCCCGAGACCTGTAGATGGAAGATTGCTTGCATTTCTCAGGGTGTTTAATATGGACGCAGGTAATACAAAGAAAACAAGAATTATTATTTTAAATATAATGTTTTTGGGTGGTTTGGATTTTTGTTGATTATAGGATTTCTTTTAAAGTAATGCAATTTGATAATATTTTTCGATTTTAAATGAAGAAATAATTAAATCATTGAAACTGATTGTCATTGGATTTAGGATGTATTATTTGATTCTACACAAAATACTCGGGAACTCTTAATGATTGGAACAAATAATTTTTTGCAAAAGAGCCAGGAAGAATCTCTTTTAATTACCTTAAAGTTTGAAAGTTGGGCTTAGATGGCGTTGTTTCGAAATTCTCCAAATAATAGCGATATTTTAAAATTATTTTTGTTGTTTTGTAGACTGGAAAAAATGAAAAAGCGAAATTGTTGTATTCTTAAACGGCCAAAACTACAACCATTATGTGTACAGGGTGGGTCAAATTCGACGCTTTTAAATGGAAACACCCTTTTCTATAGGAGATAGACAAAAACTAATATCGGGGTCTGGAGTTCAATTTTTGTCAAAAACATGATGGTGAGAACCGCATATCGACATCTGTTACCGTTTCGGAGTTACGGGGTGTTTTTCAAAAATATGCATTTTTAACAAATCGCTGTGACTTTTTTGCTATGGAAATTTTTGTATTTTTATGAAAACATTTTCAAAGCACCTTTTACGTAGAATTTAATGGTTTAAGTATAATTTTTTTAAAATTAATAATTTAATAGACCATCTAAAGTAAATAACACATATACAGGGTTGTTCACCACATACGACACGGAGTATTGTAGCTAAACGATTAGATTTTTACAAATTGTAAATTTTGGATTCGTTGAAGGACTATTAGAGCTACAATTTAAAAATATTTTTACAAGATACAGAGTGTCCTAAATAAATAAAAAATATCAAAGTTGTATTTTTTTAAATGGAACACCCTGTATATTATTTCATTTTAGTTTCTACGATTAAAATAAAGGTAATTTTGATTAAGGTTTATCACACTTAAACCTTACCGTTTTTGAAATATTTTGGTTTTGTCAAAATACAGTAATAATTTTAATGAATAATGAATAAACGAACCCAAAACTTTACAATTTGTAAAAATCTAATCGTTTAGCTACAATACTCCGAGTCATATGTGGTGAACAACCCTGTATAGTTTTGATTTCAGGACATTTCTTGTATTTTTAATAATTTATATAAAAAGGCTGAAAAATTAATATTTTTATTTATTTGTTAATATCTCCTAAATTATCGAAATATATTTATTCATATCTTAGAATTATGTAAATTAATCTAAAAGGAAGCCAAAAGTGCTCTAATATACAGGGAGTTCCATTTAAAAATAATTCCGACCCACTAACACTTTTTTTAAACCCTATAGAAGTTAAAATATTTTTCTGTAAATAAATCCTCGTATATACTTTAGGTTCGTACTTTATTAAACAAAATTCTCAAGGTTTTAGGTCGGGAACATACTCGGGAACTCTTAATGATTGGAACAAATAATTTTTTGCAAAAGAGCCAGGAAGAATCTCTTTAATTACCTTAAAGTTTGAAAGTTGGGCTTAGATGGCGTTGTTTCGAAATTCTCCAAATAATAGCGATATTTTAAAAATTATTTTTGTTGTTTTGTAGACTGGAAGAAAATGAAAAAGCGAAATTGTTGTATTCTTAAACGGCCAAAACTACAACCATTATGTGTACAGGGTGGGTCAAATTCGACGCTTTTAAATGGAAAAACCCTTTTCTATAGGAGATAGACAAAAACTAATATCGGGGGTCTGGAGTTCAATTTTTGTCAAAAACATGATGGTGAGAACCGCATATCGACATCTGTTACCGTTTCGGAGTTACGGGGTGTTTTTCAAAATATGCATTTTAACAAATCGCTGTGACTTTTTGCTATGGAAAATTTTGTATTTTTATGAAAACATTTTCAACGCACCTTTTACGTAGAATTTAATGGTTTAAGTATAATTTTTTAAAATTAATAATTTAAGAATTATCAACAGAAAATTTGATTTTTATATGGGACATCCTGTATATTTTTAATTTATTGAAAAGAATTTAAAATTACCTTTCAAAATATAACACACTTGATATTTTGCTCGATTCCTCTGCGAAATATAGAGTATATAAAAATTGGCCCGCTTTAAATAAGTAGTCTTTGAACGGCACCGGCTGTAATGCAAAAAATTCTAGCTGTGAGCATCAATTAAAACGAAAATAATATTTGCTATGAGAGATGCAGAATTTTATAACAATTTAAAATATATTTAACCGAAATCACAACACATTTAAACTATATCTCATAACAATAAAAATAAATAGCAAACCAAGACATGAGATTTTGCTACAGGTGTTCGACATATCGACACTCTTCTGTTATGGACAGACGGGGCAGTTTCAGAAAATTTCTCGCAGAATTCATAAACTCAGTAGGGGTGAAAGATACCCTCTTATAACTGCTAAGTATTTTTAATTCTTGTCTAGATTATACGGAAGAATAAGGAACCTTTATTCTTCCGCAAATATATCCATAGGATTAGATCCATGGGCACAAATCAGGCGGCCTCGACGGCCAACGGCTGAGATCTTGGTTAGCTATCCAATTATTCTTGAAATTGGCTGCAAAAATTTGCTGATAACTTCAACGTTCAGAGGCGGTGCGTCGTTTTGCTGGAATAATATGTTTTCGAGTTCCAATAAGGGAATATCATCAATAAGGGGTCCAAAGCCTACTAGTTAAAAGTGGCGAACTTTTAAAATTCTGTATTTCGAAGGCGATTATAACAAAATATCAAGCGTGCTATATTTTTGGAAAGGTAATTTTAAATTCTTTTCAGTTAATTAAAAATATAGAGGGTGTCCCAAATAAAAAATCATTTTTTCTGTTGATAACTCTTAAATTATTAATTTTAAAAAAATTATACTTAAATCATTAAATTCTACGTAAAAAGGTGCTTTGGAAATGTTTTCATAGAAATACAAAATTTTCCATAGCAAAAAAGTTACAGCGATTTGTTAAAAATGCACATTTTTGAAAAACACCCCGTAACTCCGAAATGGTAACAGATATTAATGTGCGGTTTTCACCATCATGTTTTTGATGAAAATTGAGCTCCAGACACCGATATTGGTTTTCGTCTATCTCCTATAGAAAAGGGTGTTTCCATTTAAAAGCGTCGAATTTGACCCACCCTGTACTTGTAGTTTTGGCCGTTTAAGAATACAACAATTTTGCTTTGTCATTTTTTTCCAGTCTACAAAACAACAAAAATAATTTTAAAATATCGCTATTATTTGGAGAATTTCGAAACAACGTCATCTAGTGGCCACTAGAGCCCAACTTTCAAACTTTAAGGTAATTAAAAGAGATTCTTCCTGGCTCTTTTGATATGAACTACACACAAACATCCCTTAACGATACTATGCTTGTCTTTTGACTTTCAGTATTTACCACCGTTATTCGTTAAAATTAATCGATTATTTCGTCAAGGGGCTGTCAAGCGTAAGGAAGGCTTTTAACGCCAAGGGCTGATCGACGGCGACGCATATGTAAAGGGAACGAATATTTGAGAGCGGTTTCTAATCGTTTGCTAATTACCAAGTTTTAATTAAACCAATTAGAAATAGCGTTCAATGTGTGCTGTAATGTTTTCACTATTATACGTAGTTGGAGAAAATTATTAGGTCGGGAAGTTTGTCAAAGAGACACACAAAAATAGGTTTTATTAAATTTATCCAATGCAATAAAATAATTTTGTTTTTTTGTCTCCTTCTAAATTTGATAATTATTGTATTTCGCTTATTTCTTAGAAATCACTCATTATACAGGGTGGTCCGAACTGTATTCCGGAAACTGCGGCAGCATATTCTGCAGATAAAAATAAGTAAAAAAGTTCGTATAAATGTATGTCCTAAATTGCTTAGTTTCAGAGATACAGGGTGTAGTTTGGTGTGCAAGTGTCGTTTTTATTTCGATTTTTTTTCAAATAATTTCTGAAGTAACGTCAATATTTGGATTAAAATTGGTCTCTGGCAAGGATACTATAGAGATAAGGATAGTTCGATTCCTATCTTCCTGCACTGTCAGTTTTTTTACGTCATCTACTGACCGAGTTGAAGTTTTTTAGGCGCTAAATATTTTAGACAGTGACAGTTATTTTTGCATTTGACGGACGAGCGCACAGTGCGTTGGAAGATAAATTTAGCGGGACAAAAGCGTTTGGTTAGAAATAAGCCAAAAAATGTGTACTGATAAGAATAAATAGTAGACATTCCAATTGATACAAAAATGCATGAATATTCTTTGTATTTCGATACATTTTTATCAACAAAATTTGGTCGTTTTCTGCTCAGCAAGGCAGAGATCATACTAAAACAAAATATTTACAAGTGCTTATACATTTTATTAGAAAGCCAAATTATGTTGAAGATTGCCAAAGGTATGTACTTTTCGACTGTAAGTATATTATTTGTTAAAATCCTTCGTGCCTTTGTTCTGCAGATATCAAACTTTCACTTTTTTTTTCAAATATCGATTGAATGATGTAGATCTTTTGAGTTACCAATAGTTACCAACACAGGTAGTCACAGTCACAGGGAGTTCAAGCTTAACAGGTGAATGCCCAAAAAGATTCATTTCGATCGGATAGTATAAAAACAAAACAACTCCATCAAAAGGCACTGAGTTTAAAAAATTGTCTTAGATACTTACTATATATGAATTTACAATTACCGAGTGTTAAAATTAAAATTAAAATATCTATCTTATTTATTATTTTCAAAATAAAATATATTTTTTTTTTAAAATAAATTATAGAGGGTGTCACAAGATTACAAGTTAATTAAAAAAAACTGTTAAAGAGTTTTTTGATATCACAATTTTATGTATTTGGCAATAGTTTACAATACGGTTTTTGTGTGTCATGTACGAATAATATCATAGTTTTATTATCTTGTATTTATTTATTAATAAATTAAGTTGTTAATAAATAAATAAATTTAACCATATAGTTGCTATATATTAGACCATTTGCTACGTTCTTAGATTTTAAGTCCCAAACATTGCTCTTGAGATTTTGTCCCGCTAGAATAACCATCCGCCGCACTGTGGAGCGCTGGTCAGCGCGTGACGTAGCATTCCACGGCAACTACGACAGCGGCGATTTGACGCGATCGAACAGTCCATTAGAATATATACAGTCCTTGGGTCTCATTGGGTCTCTTGGGTAGTTTTTTGTCATGATAAGTTTGATTTTGAAGTCAATATTACTCCTACTTGTAGGGGGCGCCACCTACATATGCTTTAACTGTTTTGAAGCGTAATAACTTTTCGTCCGTACCTGTATAAATCTACTGAGTGGAAAAATATACATTTCCGTGACTTTTTACGTAAAAAATATCTCTTGGTAAAAATCGCTACGAGCAACCGTTCTCAAGATATTTAGAATAGAAATAGTCAATACATGTCATTATTGACAAAAATAAACACGTTGAGTAGATAGTTATTTTACTGAAATAATAAATTTGGGAAATTTTTATTTTTTTTTTAATTGATCATAAATTTTTCTGCGAGAAAAATAGTGATAAAACAGTTTTTGTTGAACTTTTGGCACAAAAACATTTCAAATTTATGATATCAGTTAATAACTATTTAGTCAACATGTTTAATTTATGTCAATGATGACAGGTATTGATCATTTCGATTTCAAACATCTCGAAAACCATTACTTCTAGCGATTTTTACCAAGAGACCTTTTTTACGTAAAAAACTTCATAAAAGTATATTTTTTTACTCAGTAGTTCTATACCAGTATGGACGAGAAGTTATTATTCTTGAAACCAGTTAAAAAATATGTAGGTGGCGCCCTCTACAAGTAGGAGTCATATTGACATCAAAATCAAGTTTCCCATGTCAAAAAACTCACAGACACCAATCTTCATTCGAATATTGACGTTACTTCATAAATTATTTGGAAAAAACTGAAATAAAAATGAAACTTCTACACCCTGTATCTTCGAAACTAAGCATTTTAGGACATACATTTATACGAACTTTTTTACTTATTTTTATCTGCAGAATATGCTGCCGAAGTTTCCGGAATATAGTCCGGACCACCCTGTATAGACAGGGTGTCCCAATATTCCGTGGACATAGAACTACATACTACGTATTTTTGGAATCTATCTTAAGAACCGTTATTCCGATTTGAATGAAAGTTTGGGTGACTATCTTTTGCTAAGTGCTATAACGTTTGACTTGGAAGGGAGAAAACTACTCCCACCCCTACATAAATTTTATCTACCTGCTTTTTTACACCTTACAGCCGAAACCAAAGCTAGAGGAAATCAGAACGAACAATTTTCAGCTGATAATAGATCAGGACAATACAAAGACTTTCTAAACTATTGCTCATCTCATGAACAGATTTCTTACCTGTAAAAATAAATAAATAACCTAATTAATACTCCGCTTTGCGACGTTCAAATCAGTACCTTAAAATATCTTAGATTTATACTCGCTAGTATCCCGATTTAAAAGTTTGCTTTTGTTTTTAATTCATTTTAGATCAGCTAGAACACTGGCTCGAATCTGACAAATCTTCAGACCTTCAGTACCAGGAGTGCGGTCTTGAAACCAGTCTTGAGTTAAAGTCTTGGGCGTTTCTCAAGGCCAGGCTCAATCTTCTGCTGTCTTCCTACAAGACCACTTTGGAGGAAGACCAAAAACTACTTTCCGCGAAGAAAATTGGGAATAACATGCGGACGGCCATCAAGATGCGACTTTGCGAAAAAACAATTCTCAGAGATTGTTTGAATTACGTCGATGAAATGATACAAAAGTAGATAAGTATGTATTTTGAGTTGTGTATATTACACCTGCATATTTAGAGTATCCGTTATTTACCAAGTTGATCATTTCTCTCCCGACGCCCCCTAAATTTTTAGTTGATTGTCTAAAAGAAAATAACAGATCATTGTAAACCCTTAATATTCACATTAAACTTTGCCCCAAAGACGATTCATTTCCCATACAAATTACATGGGAATTTGCCACCTTTTGCAAATATTTTTTTTTTCTCTCGATCTTGTTCTCTCGCAGCCATGACAATCACATATTCTTGTACAGGGTGGGTCAAATTCGACGCTTTTAAATGGAAACACCCTTTTCTATAGGAGATAGACAAAAACTAATATCGGTGTCTGGAGCTCAATTTTCATCAAAAACATGATGGTGAAAACCGCACATCAATATCTGTTACCGTTTCGGAGTTACGGGGTGTTTTTCAAAAATATGCATTTTTAACAAATGGCTGTAACTTTTTTGCTATGGAAAATTTTGTATTTTTATGAAAACACTTCCAAAGCACCTTTTTACGTAGAATTTAATGGTTTAAGTATAATTTTTTTAAAATTAATAATTTAAGAATTATCAACATAAAATTTTATTTTTTTTTGGGACACCCTGTATATTTTTAATTTATTGAAAAGAATTTAAAATTACCTTTCCAAAAATATAACACACTTGATATTTTGCTCGATTCCTCTTCGAGATATAGAGTATATAAAAATTCGCCCGCTTTAAATAAGTAGGCTTTGAATAGCACCGGCTGTAATGCAAAAAAAATCTAGCTGTGAGCATTAATTAAAACAAAAATAATATTTGCTGTGAGAGATGCAGAGTTTTATAACAATTTAAAATATATTAAACCAACGTCAACGCATTTAAACTATATCTAATAACAATAAAAATAAACAGCAAACTAAGACATGAGATTTTGCTACAGGTGTTCGACATATCGACCGTCTTCTGTTATGGACAGACGGGGCAATTTTTGAACATTTTTCGCGGAATTCATTACTCAGTGGGGGTGAAAGATACCCTCTCATAACTGCTAAGTATTTCTAATTCTTGTCTAGATTATACTGAAGAATAAGGAACCTTTATTCTTCCGCAAATATATCCATAGGATTAGATCCATGGGCACTAAGTCAGGCGGCCTCGACGACCAACGGCTGGGATCTTGGTAAGCTATTCAATTATTCTTCAAATTGGCTGCAAACATTTGCTGATAACTTCAGCGTTCAAAAGCGGTGCGTCGTCTTGCTGGAAAAATATGTTTTCGAGTTGCATTAAGGGCATATCATCAATAAGGGGTCCAAAGCCTACTAGTTAAAAGTGGCGAACTTTTAAAAATTTTATATTTCGAAGGGAATTATAACAAAATATCAAGTGTGCTATATTTTTGGAAAGGTAATTTTAAATTCTTTTCAGTTAATTAAAAATATAGAGGGTGTCCCAAATAAAAAATCAATTTTTCAGTTGATAACTCCTAAATTATTAATTTTAAAAAAATTATACTTAAACGATTAAATTCTACGTAAAAAGGTGCTATGGAAATGTTTTCATAGAAATACAAAATTTTCCATAGCAAAAAAGTTACAGCGATTTGTTCAAAATGCACATTTTTGAAAAACACCCCGTAACTCCGAAACGGTAACAGATATTGATGTGCGGTTTTCACCATCATGTTTTTGATGAAAATTGGGCTCCAGACACCGATATTAGTTTTCGTCTATCTCCTATAGAAAAGGGTGTTTCCATTTAAAAGCGTCGAATTTGACCCACCCTGTACAGAATTAAACGCTCTACAAAAAAGGTCTCTTACAATTTTTCGATAAACCTACTCCTTCAAAAATTATTCACCGTTAAAATTAACCACTCGGTAAATTCCTAAAGCTGGATTTATAAACTCGGGAGTTGAGGTTCAGTTGAGGTTCAGTTGCCGTTCAAAATGTTCAACGCTATGAAATGAACGCTCGCATTTATAAAGTCAGTTGGTCGAAAAGTTGGCAGTTCGTTTTACGTTCAACGGAGTTCAAGAATTCCAAAGCGTGAACCATCCGTGAAGAGAACATTGGACCATTGTTCATTCGACCACTGAACATGATCTTGAGCCCACAAATATCGTACCTCTCGATTTCCTCTCGTTAAGGGTTGAGCTCTCCAGGGGCGTCTGCTTCTTAAGTTGACCTCTCTTAAATCTATTGCGAACAGTGTCAGGACTAACGGTTACATTATGTGTTTCCTGGAGAATTAAACTAAGCTCCGGTGCTGTAAGAGTTGGTCGGCGTCGATCATTTAATTTTAAAAAATGATCTTGCTGAGTGGTAGTAATGCGATGTCGCTCTGTGTGCGTTTCAGCAACATCACCACTTTCACGGTAGCGTGCACTTAATCGCGATATTACACTTTGCGTTGTATTTAATGCTCTAGCTACGTCGATTTGGCGCATTCCAGCTTCGAGCATACCCATGGCCCTTAGCATTTCGTCTCTGTTAAGATGTCTACGCTCCATAATGTCGTTTAATACTAAACAGAGTTATTTGAATGAATTCTGGCCAGTTATCATAAAAACATAGCCAGTACAGGTTAAATTCGAACGATTGATGCTAGGTGCTTTTTATACATTTGACAAAAAATGCACAAACACTTCTGAAAATATCCCAAATTTAGAAATAACTAGTGTGACTACTTCGTTTCAATCGAAGTAGAAAGAATCGGCCTACAAATATGTGGTTGTTTATTCAAAACATTTATTTTTAACTTTAATAAAATGATATCGCTAGATTTTTCCGGTGTGTGTATATAAATACGTAATCAGGACGAATTATTTAAATAAAAGTGGAAGAGGTCCGATTGGAGGTATAATTCGATCATGTTGGTGAAGATGAATTATTGCTCGTAAATCCAAATACACATGGGTCTAAAACATCTAGAACCGTTTTTCAAGATGCCGTTTTGTTATTATTTTATTTCTTTGGCCTACAAATTTCTACTTGTCTTGGGGAGTGCTTCAAGAAAAAGTAATGACACAAGACACAAAAGTACGAAAAATCCAACGGAGAAGAAGGTATTTTTAAGGATTCACAGTTCTTAGTGTTTGTAAATAGAATTTTGGCTTTTGCAATGTCAGCTGTAGTGTTAATATGTACCAGACAGCCCAGGCATAGACGTCCTTTATATAAATACGTATTTTACTCATTCTCAAATATCATGAGTCCTTGGTGCCAGTATGCAGCTTTAAAATATGTCTCGTTCCCCCATCAAGTTTTAGCCAAACTATTCCTGTGATGATAATGGGTAAAATAATTTCCAAAACCAAATACGAATTTTACGAATATGTGACTGCCATTATTCTGTCTGTGGGAATGTTATTTTTTATGTTAGATTCTGGGAATGATAGAGCCACGAGCACAGTGACATTTTGTGGAGTTATTTTGTTATGCTCTTACATAGCTTTTGACAGTTTTACCTCAAATTAAGGGAAATTATTTAAAACTTATGAAATGAAACCCATACAAATGATGTGTTTTGTAAACTCTTTTTCGTGTATTTTTACACTAGTGTCTTTACTACAACATGGAGGTCTTTTAGAATCATTTAAGTTTATGTTTGCCTATCCACAATTCATAGTTGACGTAACTATTCTGTCAGTTTGCTCAGCTTCAGGACAAATGTTTATATTTTGTACAATAGATACATGTCTATCTGTGTTATTAAGTTGTATAATTTACCATCATCAAGTAAATATTATCGGTGGAATAGGATTGTTTTTGGTGTTCTTTAGTATATTATTAAAACTTTATTGTGGGTACAGAATTAAAATGATCAAATACCAAAATTCCAACCTCATAAAAAACTAACACAGGTAATTTTAAGAATGGAGATTTGAATAGTTTTTAATTAGATTTTGAATAAACAAAGCTTTAAAATTGTCAGAAAACTATTAAGTTTAGTATACATTTTTATTTTGTGGCAATTCCTATGGAATTTAAATGGGAAATTAATCGTCTTTGGGGTAAGGTTTAATGTGAATATATTAGGGGTTTATAATGGTCTGTTATTTTTTTTAGACAATAAACTAAAAATTTAGAGGCCGTCCGTCGTGAGAGAAATGATCAACTTGGTAAATAACGGAGATCCTACTGCATATTGTAAGACGAATTACCACTTACTACTCACAAAAAAACCATATGGTTTTTCTCCTAGAAGTAAAACAATATGGCATATATATCCAGTATTGAGCTGTCAATGTGTAAATTTATTTACCCTTTTTGATCTCTGTACGAGTTCTAATATGAAAACATTAAAATCTACTTGTGCTGTATTTATGAATAATTCTAATTCTTTCCTACTGCATATTGTAAGACGAATTACCACTTACTACTCACAAAAAAACCATATGGTTTTTCTCCTAGAAGAAAACAATATGGCATATGTATCCAGTATTGAGCTGTCAATGTGTAAATTTATTTACCCTTTTTGATCTCTGTACGAGTTCTAATATGAAAACATTAAAATCTACTTGTACTGTATTTATGACTAATTCTAATTCTTTAAAATAAAAATGCTTATAAAGTGTTTAGCCCAGTTTTACAAAAACGATTGAAGAACTTTTGAATATAGTGTGTCCTCCATTTTTGTGTGTTTTATGAGGTTTCTTGTTTATGAGATACAAAGTTGCAGTTTTTACGTTAGTGTGCTATTTTTTATGAAACTAAAGATGCTACATACAGATTTGTCCTAGCCTTCTTAGTTTCTGAAATACAGGACAAATTTGAAATTGTTGCATTTTTTGAGTCTCCTCGTATCTCGCTTATCTCATAACTTTGTACTAGCTTTGTACCTCATAAAACACATCAAAATGAGACACCCTGTACGTACCTTCTGTTTCAATGTACATGAATATTATAAATTGGCATTTTTAAATGTTTACAATACTGCTTTAGTCTGTCCAAGAGTTTGTTTAGAGTATCCCTGACACTGACACATGTGTCTGTCATTTTAATTCACAGGCAAGCTGTATTTTGTGTCATTTTTTTGGATGTCATCTGTCAAAATCTTCCCTGATTCGTTGGACAGGATACAAGATGATCTGTTAATTTTTTTGATGATATTTATTAGACACCGAAGAAAGCTTGGCCACGGTTTACAATACTGCTTTAGTCTGTCCAACCAGAGTATCCCTGACACTGACAGTTGTGTCTGTCATTTTAATTCACAGGCGCACTGTATTTTCTGTCATTTTTTTTGGGTGTCATCTGTCTAAATCTTTCCTCAATCGTTTGACAGGCTATACAAGATGATCTTTTAATGTTTTTGATGATATCTTATTTATTAGACACCGAAGAAAGCTTGGCCATGGTTTACAATACTGCTTTAGTCTGTCCAACCGGAGTATCCATGACACTGAGAGTTGCGTCTATCATTTTAATTCACAGGCGCACTGTATTTTCTGTCATTTTTTTGGATGTCATCTGTCAAAATCTTCCCTGATTCGTTGGACAGGCTGTACAAGATGATCTTTTAATTTTTTTGATGATATCTTATTTATTAGACACCGAAGAAAGCTTGGCTATGGTTTACAATACTGCTTTAGTCTATCCAACCGGAGTATCCCTATCACTGACAGTTGTGTCTATCATTTTAATTCACAGGCAAGCTGTATTTTCTGTCATTTTTTTTTGGATGTCATCTGTCAAAATCTTCCCTCATTTGTTTGACAGGCTATACAAGATGATCTTTTATTTTTTTTATGATATCTTATTTATTACACACCGAAGAAAGCTTGGCCATGGTTTACAATACTGCTTTAGTCTGTCCAACCGGAGTATCCATGACACTGAGAGTTGCGTCTATCATTTTAATTCACAGGCGCACTCTATTTTCTGTCATTTTTTTGGATGTCATCTGTCAAAATCTTCCCTGATTCGTTGGACAGGCTATACAAGATGATATTTTAATTTTTTTGATGATATCTTATTTATTAGACACCGAAGAAAGCTTGGCTGTGGTTTACAATACTGCTTTAGTCTGCCAACCGGAGTATCCCTATCACTGACAGTTGTGTCTATCATTTTAATTCACAGGCAAGCTGTATTTTCTGTCATTTTTTTTGGATGTCATCTGTCAAAATCTTCCCTCATTTGTTTGACAGGCTATACAAGATGATCTTTTATTTTTTTTATGATATCTTATTTATTACACACCGAAGAAAGCTTGGCAATGTGTCTAAAGCAAAAAAAAAACGCGTTGTTCTATTTATTCTTATCTTTATTGTATCTGACTATTTAGTAAAAAAATAAAATTCAGTGTTGTGAAAATCTTAGAGTAAGTTAAAATAGTGATACTACACCATCGAAAAAAAAAACGATGTCATAGTTGGCTTGGAAATGAACATCGCTGTTTGTATGTAAAATTATATGGTGATTGTCATTTCCAATCCTACTTGACGTCATTTTTTTTCGATTATACTATACATCTCCATCACTATTGTGAGAATTGATCTAAGATTTAACAGTAAATATCTCAAGTTGAAATGCATAGATTTATGTATATACTTACAGGGTGTACAAGATATTTGAAGACAGAAGAGATTATTTTGTTTCTAAAATTTCTTTATTACTAATAAATTTATCTGAATGTTCTATAAGGGAACTTCAAAAACGTAAAATTCCATTTTAAAAATTTAACATTTCTTTTCTATATTTACCGTATGTTCGAAAAAAAAAACGACGACGAGTTGGCGTTGAAATGACGATCGATGGCATTCCCCATATAATTTTACATAGAAAATGACAGCGATTTTTATTTCTGAGCCATCTCTGACGCCGTTTTTTTTCGATCATATGGTATACGAAAAAACATAGCTTATATTAAAAATACATATAGCAGTTTGGTGAGACGTAGACTTTTATACTAAGAATAAAATGTCGGGGAAACTCTGATCGCTTTTTTTCTGTGTTCAGATATCTTGAACACACTGTATATAAATAAAAAAATCATCAAACAACACGTGTTTACTAATATAAACACAACTTTTATTTTTAATTATCAAAATTTGTAGAAATTATGTGTTTGTAACATCACATATTTTCAATAATACAATAACATACGGTTGAAAAAAAAGGCGTCACAGTGGCTGTTGCAATGGACAATCCATAATAATTCTTGTCAAAAATTTGTATTTACATGGAAAAAGATAAGAAATAAAAGTTGTTACTTTTAAGTTTTTCTAACTTATAATAAATGATATAATGAGGAACCGGCCTGACAAATTATTTATTATTGGTTGTCGTTTCAAAGCCCATGCACTATGATGCCGTTTTTTTTCTCGATTATTAGCAATATTATTTTATTTTTTTATATTTACATCACGATACTAAGATGCAGTTACTATAAAAAAAAATGTCAATCAAAGGCCCCCTCTACATTACCTACTATTCAATCATGATAAAAAAATTGTAATTGTTAGAAATTAAGTCTATATTGTTGTGAAAGAGGTTGTAAGTAGTGTATTTATTTTTCTTTGATTTTAAAACGTTTTTCTTATGAGTGTGATATAATATTATGCTAACCATAATAAAATACATTTATTTGTTATTTTCAAAATATATTTGTTACTATTTGCTCAGGTTTTTAATGATATACAGCGTGATTTATGAATTAAAAAGTTTGAGGTTAAGCTTATATTAATTTCAGATATTGTTCTTGAATGTCCAGGAAAAATAAAATCTATTAGATTAAAAATTGTCTGAAATCTTTATACAACAACTTTCCGTAACTTAAAAGTTAATACTTCCAGTTGAAAGGTAACAGTTTAAATTAACAAATTATTTTATTATAGGCAATATGTATTTTTTTGTTGAAGTTTGGTTTCAAATAAAAGTTTTTAAAATTCACTTTTTTTATAATACTCTTTTAAAAAAAACTGCGTCACAGTAGCCTTTGAATTGACAATCGATGAGAATTTCTTTGGGCCCAACTACTATATAACCAAAAAATACATAAAAGTTTGTCAAAATGTGAGATTTAACGTAAAAAGTTTCTTTAATAAGGCCACTGTGACGCCGATTTTTTTCGATTGACTCCGTAAAATTAACGCAAACCTTGCCCTACCATAATAAACCTAATTGTAGAGAGACTTATGGAATATTATCGTTTGTTGAGTTTTTATACCTGGAATCTATAGGCAACTCTATATACAACCACTTTTTAAATATTGTTTTTAGAGACAAATATTATCAAATAACCACTTATAATCTTAATCTAAGCTTATAATCATATAAAACTGAAGATAATAGACCGATAATATATTTTTAAATAACATCCTTCAGAAAAATATTCAAAATAATAAGTTTACTTTCATATTTTAGGATTTCGATCAACTAAAACGTACTTCACTTTTGAATAATTCAAATTTCAAATCGCTGTCAAACTCTTTGGCGCGGCCGGAGAAATGTTCGCGAGTATTTTAAAAATTTCCAAACAAATGTAAATTAATCCCTAAACTAAAGCATTGTGTTCGTTTTCAAATCAAGTGTCTTACAAACATGTAACCGCAGTCATCTTTGTCCTATGAAACCCAGTTTAATCATTATTTAATTGCAATAACCTTAAAAAGGGTTTGTTTGTAAACAAAAATGAACATAAATCCACCGAAAAAAGTGAGAAAGATTACTCAAAAACCAAAATCCGCTCCGAGAAACTACGAAATTACTAAGCATTTCAATCCTGTGATAGAGTTTAGCAGTAAGTCCGAAATACCTGAGGTAAACTTGCAACAAAGTAAAGATGACATAAAACCAAAGAATTTTCCTAAAAGAAAACCGCCCGTCCTCAAAACAATAATAGCTCCCAAGATAACGAAAAAGGAGAAATCCAAAACACCACAGATTATCAATGCAAGGTGTTTAAAACCACAACCTAAGAGCTCTTCTTCATCGAGTGTTGATACAAAGCTTGATAAATTTAGTGATAAAGCCAGATTTAAATCGAAATCTTTTTATTCGAGTCAACCGAGTCCAACTAAAAAATTGAACAATTCTAAAACTACCTTAGATAAAACTTCGTCAAGTTCGAAAACTAGCAGTTTAAAATCAGCAACAGATCCTGTTTTGTTGAGAAATCAACAGCATGCTATGCTATTGAAAAAAGAAATAGCAAATCACAAACAGCAAAGTATAAATAAGTACAACAAAAACTTAGAAGGGGATGACACTCACATTCGTAGTCTTAAAAATGAAATTTCTGAGGGAAAAAGTAAAGATGTAAATAATAAACGTGCTTTAATAACGGAATTAAAGACAGAACTAGCCGAGTACAAGAGATTTAATACTTTTCAAGTGTATAGTCAGCGTCAGTTAGCGGCTAGTAAAAATAAAATTCCAGAAAAGCAGGTTGTTGAAGCAGGAACGAGTGCGGGTAGTATGAGAAACTTCAATATACCAGAGACACCAAGCTGTTGTGTTCCTGAGAGCCTGAAGAAGCCGGGTAAAAAGGAGACGTCAGGTATAGGTAAGTCAAAGATTTAGATATTTTAATAAATTGATTTTAATGTACAAATGTTTATACCATAGGAAAAAAAAGGAGACAAAATTAGTTAGGGTAATAATTTTAGTTTGCCATAGACATTTCAATTATACAGGGTCCGGCAATAGGGCATCTGTAGCTCCTAGAATAAAAAACTTGAGGATTTTGTTTAAATATAAACCTAAAGTATGTACGAGGTTGTATTTTAGGAAAATAATTTAACTTCTATAGGGTGGCTCAAAAAAGTGTGTGTGGATCGGGATGATTTTTTTAAAATGGATAAATAAAAAATTAGTCAGATGTTAAAATAAATAAAAACAATCGAACAGTTTGTTATTTTGATTTTTGTCACTTTCTAAGGTAATTAAATTTTGTATGATAGATTCTTTATCAGTACACAGGCGGTTTATAGCAAAAAAACTTATTTTAGAATCTTTATTTATGCAATAATAATATTTGTTTTTATTTTTAGTTTTCAACGATGTATCCTCATTCGAATCTTCAAATGAAAGGTAAGTGATTTTATAATTTTCTTTATCGTCTTTTGCACGAAAATGGTGAATGCGCTAGGTAAACGCGCTGATGCTGTATTTATATTTTATGAATTTGTTGCTTTTTTGAAATGAAAATGTTCACTTTTTGAATCGTTTTTTAAAATAAAGAAGTATCTGTGTAAAATTACGAGTGTTATAGAAAAGGTAAGTATTGTTTTAATATGTTTTATTGTTTTTTTTACAATATTATAAAGATTTATAACATAGTTAATTTCAGTTTATAAGATTTTATAGTTTTTTTTATTATATCTCGCAGAATCTGGACCTCAATGAAGAAACTACCTAAGTCTGTCTGTACTGCCAGTCTTCAAGAGCTACATCTCCATAGGTATAATTCTTTTGATGCAGTTTTGGGTTCTTGAGTTGATTGAAAAGGACTGTTCTGGAACACATAAAGACATAAAAGGTAAGATTTCTTATATATTAGTGTCTAAGGAATTTATTTTTATAAAATTGTACCTAATGGTAATAAGAATATTATAAAAAAATGTATTATTTTAAGTTGCTAAAGCAGGTGATGTAGGTATAAACAGGGTATTAAAAATATCTTAACCTTGACATTGAAATGTTAACGACTATAACTTGATAGTTAAGCATTAATTTATCTCAATTTAAATCTGTATCTGATTGACAGAACAATTCTATTGTTCTAAATCTTATTACAACTGAAAATGTACTTGCTACAGCTCGTCGATTATGAGGCAGAATGAAGGGTGATTTTTTCATCAGCTAGCTACTAGGAGAGCGCAAATTGAATGGTAGCAAAAGTTTGTTTCTAACAGAGTTTTTACTAGTAACTGTTAACATTCACTAATTTCTAGCATATCTACTGTTTCTACAAATTAAAAAATACTCGGACAAGTAAGGTTGTTGTTACAATGATGATGTTAACGTTTGATATAATTTGTTTTTTTAGTCAATTAGTACAGTACTAGTCAGGAATGTCGGCTGCTGAATTTTTATCTCGTACCTTTCCCACGCCAAAACATCTCGTTGCATTTCAATTAGGTTCAGTTACCTCCCATGCAGCAACAGCGGAGGCATCAGTTACCAGTAACGATTGGCTGCGTTTCTTGAGGAGACATCAGTAACTTATAGAGACGATTTTACTTATTTTTTAAAAAAATTGCAGAAATAATGATATTCAGGGAGTCCCAGGCTGAGCGTGCATTAGAAGTTTCTAGAGAACCACCATATCTAGATCGGAGATTTTTTGCATATCATTGTTTTACAACGAGATCTATCGATTAAAAATATTTTCAATATGGCGGCACTTCCGGAAATACCGGAAGTTGACGACAACTTTCTTATTTTAAATAGCCGCCCCTATTTTTTATTACATACTTAAATTCTCTGTAAAATTCTATGAATATTGATGTTAAATACTCTATATCTAACATTAACCGTTTTTGAGAAAAAAAAATGTTTAAAATTTTTGGACCTGTCAAAAAAATTTGTATAGCTTAAAACTCAAATTTAATGATTACCACAGCCACTGTGACAGAGAGAAGACCTGTGGCTATCTATTCCAAAAATTAAATTGTTCAAATGTCATATAATAATGGCGGTAGCTGTCATGGAATTGAGCGATTAAAAAATTATCATAAATCATTTTTTTAAAACGGAAATCCATTTTTTTATTTCACTAGTGCAAAGGTTTTCCAATTCGTTACTTCTTGAGTATACGTTCCTATACCTAGAATAAATCTTTTTTAAATTATTTAAGATTTAGTTTGAAAACATATATTTTTCTTGATTTTATCTAGCTTCCTTTGACATCAAGTGTCAAACATCCAGACAATTTATCCATCTGTTAGAAAACGAATTAGTTTGTGAGACTCAGTTACTTCGAAAAAAGGACATGGTACTGTCCTGTGCTCGACTTGGCAGACAAGATGAACACAATAATTATGTTCAAATAAGAAAACAGTCAAATTAAAATAAGAAATATACATTTGCACACCCCTAAAACGCTTTAGTGAACTAGAAATTGATTTTACTGATTATTCACTCAAAAATTTCAAAGAATCACTCAAACCTGAAAAGGAATGTCAAGTACAAGGTCGTTTACTGCCTCTGTTAAGATGTAAACTTAACCAATCGATGGTCTCGGTAAGGCCACATCGTGCGTCACCGAATATGTGCGATTTACGTCAAACGCCGGAAAACCAGAGCCCGTTGTTTGTTATATAATTAGTTTTTATTGGCACACGGACCACGGCGATTGGGACAGGCAAATTGGGTTATCATTATCGGAGTAGTGTGAAGGAAGGTTGCCGCGTAGTTGGTATCACAGATACGCAGCGATCAACAATGCTTGAAATAGCTATTGGCTATTCTGATTTTGCTGGTTTGGTTGGCAATAAATTTAAGACAAAAATACAAAAACGAAACTTGCAGTGTACCGAGCAATAATTATAATCCCCAGAGCGAAACCTGGGTGCCGCACCGCCGACACATGAACGCATTAAACAAGTTGCAACAGAGACACATTAGACAACTCTTAAGAATCCGATGGTTCCATCATGTCTCAAACGTATCGGTCCTTGAAAAAGCTAACTGCGAGAGCATTGAAATCATGGTTACAAAATACCCCTTAAGATGGGCTGGTCACGTATGCAGAATGCAAGAAAACCGCATGCCAAAATCTCTGCTTTACGGTGAGCTTGTAGACGGTATGAGGAGGCCGCCCGGTGGACAACTCAAAAGGTACAAGGACATTTTCCACGAAAACTAAGCTCACAATAGAACAGAATGGAGAAGAATTATAAACTCAGTTAACAGCGGCAACCAAAAAGTAAAGAGGCAACAAAGCAATGAGATTTCTGAATGTCCGGAGTGCGGTAGGTAGATAACATCACGTATCGGGCTTTTCAGTCACAGTAAAGCTCATGAAAGAAAACGTCTTGCGTGACCATCTTCTGATGCGTGTCAAATACTCGTCAGCGAGTAGTGGCAGTATGTATGTAAATTTAAGAAACTGGTATATTTATCTGCTGTTATCGCTTCGCGTCAGAACAAACCAAAAATTAAATAATATGATTAATTTTTTGACGATATTTAAATTCGTTTTCCATAATAACATGAAACTAATCAAAACGAGATGAGAAATAAATGGACTTAATCCTTTTAAAAAAAATATTAAGGAAGTATAATTAAGTAAAATGCTATCCATGTATTTATGCAAGGTAGACGGACAAGGGTGGGGATCCTTGACAGTTCTGTTTGACGATTCATTTAACAGATTTGAATTTGATTTGAAATTTTGTGGATTTGTCAGTCTTTATTGAGCTTATTTTATGTTATTTATTATTTATTCTACTTCTGATAGTTGTTTAAGAGTTCATTTCACTAGTCCGAAAAAGTAGCAAAATAAGCGTTCGGCATTTAATAGATTGATTACAGTGATATATAGTTTATATGGTTTTGTAACAAATTGCTCGCTATTTTATGACAAATGCTGAAGCTCTGCAAACCTTAAGCAAGCCTTAATCAAAGCACGTGTGTTTGGAATTTTGGGTGTGGCTTAACACGACAGGATCGGGCTAAGCCTTAGCCTTAGGCAGATTTCTGAAATATAATATATATTTCCTTCGGCCACACACGGAACAGTGCAGCGTAATAGACTCTTAAGGTTTGATTGAAAATTTGTTTAACGAGCAACTCTCAACTTGGCAACACGGTATCCACCCAGACCCGTAAAAGAAAATACACAGAGAAATGTACGTGTCCAAGGTCTCTGCGTCTATCTCGGGCTGCCGTAACAGTAAAAACGGTCTAAAATTAGCGGAGGAAAAAACACGCGAACCTTCGGTTTCGTATACGACGTCGGTCGTCGTGCCGCCCAGACGCCCCTACTAAGGGGCGGCGGGGCGGCAACGGCGCTCGTAAAACCGACGGAGAACGCGCTAAAAATAGTCGATTAACGAGATGTAGTAAAGATAAAAGCGTGGGCGACCGAAAGGAAATGAAAGAACCAGTTTTTTTCTGCAGCGAAAATAAACGCATGGATGGTAAAATTTCTCGTTTGAAATAATGCAGAAGCAAGTTTTCCTCGTGAAGACATACTTGTTCTCTACTCTATTAGCTACTTCATAGGCATATCTATAGTATCTACCTATTTGCAGTCACACTTGTGTTCAAATAGGGCCTGCATGTGTTTAGATTCAACAAACCCTCTGATTAGCTATGGCCAGGTAAATCCTGCCTCGTATTGGCAACAGTGCCTATACTTTTACCAGGGAGGCAAAATCTATCCGCGATTAGCAACGTTTGTAAAAAAATCCCACGTTGGGCGCCAAATGTATAACCCACAAAACTGTTTAAATTTGTAGACTATTGAAGTGGGTACCTTGGTGTTAAATATAACAAGAAATCATTTAAATGAATGACCTATAATAACAAAATGATGGAAAATTAAATTAGTGAGACCAAGACTGTCTTTAGAAAAACGTTGGCCGCACGTTGGGCGCCAAATATATAACCGTCGACGTTCAGCAAATTTAATACTTAATTTCTGATTGGAATCTTTAATATTATACGGTAGAAAATTATTGAAAATTACTGGGAATTTTATTACTGAAACAGAAAATTTGAGTTTAGAATCCACGGCTGTATTTTCACTTAATATTAAGGGGACATCATAAACTAGTGTCGTTCTTGTCATTCGTGTCAAAAAAACGTCCTTTTCAACTCTTTTAAACAGAGCTACACCGTTACGGTTTTAAAAGAGTTAAAAAGGACGTTTTTTGGAAAAAATAAGATTAGAAATTGAACGTAATCGGCGAAGTAACTCTTAATCAATACAGAATAGCAATTTTCAGGGCAGTTTAATTATTTATGAAATAACAAAAACGTATAATTGGACGATTTGAAAATACTGTTTTTTTTAAGAATGACACTAGTTTATGATGCCCCTTAATATTAAGGGAAAATACAGCCGTGAATCTAAATTCAAA